TTAAACTATCAATAATGCTACTCAAAATATTAACAGTAATATTATGTTATACTCACATTACAAAAGAAAAATCCTTAAAACGAAAAGTTTATAAAAGTCCCTGAAATTCTGGTAACACTTGTTTTCCTCTTTATACAGGGAAGCTTTAGCAAATCTGCTCTACTTTAATATCTGCCTCAAATTTCCTTCATTCTTGATAGCTATGTTCTTTTCCCCACATGAAGCCCCAATGACTCCAACACCTCATTAACCCTTGCCTCTAAACTTCCACATAAGTGTCAGTACTACACAAAGATTTATTGTCTTACAGTGTTTTACTGTTGTTTCACAAGTGTCTGTCACCTTTCTAAATAGATTTGAAAATCTTTGAAAGCTTATACTTGTATATCCTTCACAGTGCTGAACATATAGTAGGAGCTCAACCAACGCATGTTGGTTGGTTGATTTCATCATAAGAACTTTCTTACTAATGGAGTATCCAGTGTTTAACTGGCACATATACTTGTACCCAGTCTGTTAAACAGTAAGTCTGCAAATTAGTGAATTTAGACAGGGTTAAAAGTCTACTTAGGCTGTCTTCACAAAACAATGAAAACACTGAATTTTAGACACTAGCCAAAACATGTACTTGGGGGGAGGTATAGAGGGTAGGACTCCTCCCTGAAACTCAAGTGCAAATGGTGTTCTTTTAAAGTGAATTATAAAATGAGGGGGCTTTCAGATTCTCAGATTTCTTCTAGTTTTAAATCTTATAATTCTTTAATTTTAGAATTCTCAGTTGATTTTTAATATCAAAATAAAATACTGTTAACTTTTTTTCCAATTCTTTAACATTTTTGAAGTTTTGAGTTCCAAATTCTATCCTTCTCCCTCTCTACCCCCTCCCATCTCCCTGAGACAGTAAGCAATCAGATATAGATTATACATGTACAATTATGTAAAATATTTCTATATCAGTCATTTTGTACAAGAAGACTAGAATAAAAGAAAAAAAATGAAAGAAAAAATGAAAAACAGCATGTTTCAGTCTGTATTCAAACAATGTCAGTTCTTTCTCTGGGGGTGGATACTATGCTTCATCATTAGTCTTTTGGGATAGTCTTGGATCACTGGATTGCTGAGATTAGCTAAGTCGTTCACAGTTTTTCCTCAAATAATATTGCTGTTAACTGTGTATGGTGTCTTTCTGGTTCCATTCACTTTACTATGGATCAGTTCATGTAAGTCTTTCTAGGTTTTTCTGAAATCATCCTGCTAGTCATTTCTTATAGCACAATAATATTCCATTACATCACATACCATAAGCTTGTTTAACCATTCACCAATTGAGAGGCATTCCTTCGATTTCCAATTCTTAGCCACCACAAAAAGAGCTACTATAAATACCCCCCTTTTCTGGATGTCTTTGGGATATAGACCTAGCAGTGGTATTGCTGGGTCAAAGGATATGCATGGTTTTATAGATCTTTGGGCATAGTTCCAAATAGCTCTCTAGAATGGTTGGATCAGTTCAAAACTCCACCAACAGTACATTAGTGTACCAGTTTTCCCATCTCCCCTCCGACATCCAACATTTTCCTTTTTTTTTTCATATTAGTCAATCTGATACATGTGACATGGTACCTTCAGAGTTGTTTTAATTTGCATTTTTCTAATCAATAGTGATTTAGAACATTTTTTCCATATAACTATAGATAGCTTTTCGGTTGACTTTTTAAAACGAAGACTATCTAAAATGGTTTCAATCTATTTTTCATGGTAAAATTTTTAATTAATAATTCTCAGAGAGTAGTCACACTTTGGAAGGGGCTTGAGTTCACTTAGTGAACTAGAATCCCTTCTACAATGATTCCAACAAGTGACTGATAAACTTTTTCTTGAAGACCTCCAGTGATCAACTGAGATCATATAAAGTACAATATAAATGCTTATATTATTATTATAATTCTTAGGAACTCACTACTTCTCAAGTTATCCAAGGTACTTTTGGACAACTACTGTCCTAAGTGCTATACAATTATCTCATTTGATCTTTACAACAACCCTGGAAGGTAGGCACTATTATCATCCCCATTTAACAGACAAGACAAACAGAGGTTAAGTAATGTACCCAGAGTCAAACAGCTAGTGTCTGAGGCCAGAATTTTTTTTTTTTTTTAGGCCAAATTTGAATTTAGGTCTTCTTGGACTTCAGGCCTGGAGTTCTTTCCACTTTGCCATGTAGAAATCTGTCTCTCTGGACTTTCCCCTCCCCTTTTTCCTAACTACTGCTTCCAGTTTTGTTTAGCTGGGCCAATCAATAACAAGTCTAGTTCTCATTTTACAGGACAGTCTTTAGAATTATTTGAATTCACCCGTGACAACACTCCTCTTCTTTAGAACTTATTGGTCAAATCAAACTTAGTTTTCTGATATAGTGAGGATAAAAATCTAAAAAAAATCTTAACAATTAGTGAAAATATCTTTCAAGAAAGCAAACTTTCCTAGATAGAAAGAGGTTTTCTAACCTGGTTTGTGAACTAAAAAAAAAATTACTTTGATAATGGTATTTCACTATCACTTTTTTTTTTAAAGGCAATTGGGGTTAAGTGACTTGCCCAGGGTCACACAGCTAGTAAGTGTCAAGTGTTTGATCTGAGGCCGGATTTAAACCCAGGTCCTCCTGACTTCAGCGCTGGTGCTCTATCCACTGTGCCACCTAGCTGCCCCCCAATGGTATTTCACTATCATTGGTTTCCTTTGTAATCCTATGTATGTTGTGCATTTAAAAACATTCCAAAAAGGGGTCATTCTAAAAAGGGAACTTCTAAGGACTGCCACAGAGGTCCACTACACAAAAAAAGGTTCAGAATTAAGATTTGTTTTACAGGAAAGCACTGGGCATTCTTGAGCAAAACACTGTCAGCGTATGTGCCTCTGGCTGTTGAGGGATATTTAGGGATCCTGGCAGGCTGTTTACATTACCTCCAACCCCCCCCCCATAATAACAACAGTTGAAATTTATATAGTACTTAAGATTTGCAAAGAAAATACATGATCTCATTTGAACCTCTCACATCAGATCTTCCCTATTTTTGTGGAGCGCACCACCATCCTTCCACTCAGATTTACAAACTATGCCATCCTCTTCTCAAATCAGCTGCCAAATCTCGTCCTATCTATGGCTACATCTTTCATGTCAATCTCCTGTCCATTCACAGTACTATCACCCTAGTCTGGGGTCATATCACCTACAAATTAGTCTCCTGGCCTCAAGTCTCTCATCATTCCAGCCCTTTACCACAATCCCTAACTTTGTGTCACCACCTTGCCAACTCATGGTTCTGCCAGGACCAAACATAAACTCCTCTGGCTTTTAAAATCTTTTACAACCTGCCCACAACCTACCTACCTTTCTTACCTCCCTTCCCACACTCTCTGATTCAACTGAACTGGCTTTGTTATTGTTCCTTACACTTAACAATCTGTTTTCTTACTCAGAACCTGTGCACTGGCAAATTCTTGGAATACCCTTCATCTCCAATGCCTGGAATCCCTTGTTTCCTTTAAAATGAACCTCAATGAGACCATATGAAGCCTTTCTAGATCTTTAATCTAATACCTATCTCACTTCCAAATTAGTGTGCGCGCACACACACACACACACACACACACACACACACACTCTGACTCCCCAACAGGATGGAATCTCCTAATCTCCTTCAGGGCAAGGGCTGTTTCATCTTTGTGTATCTCCAAAGCCTTTCAAAGCATCAGGCACAGAGGTTTTAAAGTACTAAATATATTTGGGGGGAGATGAAGAGAAACTACCAGTGAAACAAGTTTACATTCTTAGCATCATTTTACAGATGAGAATACTGAGACTCACAGAGAGTAAGTAATACACCTATGGGTTCAGGGCCAGTGTGGAGGCAGGAGGGAAACCAAGGTTTTCCATTCAAAGTCCAACCTAATTCGCTGGCTCCCAATAAATTATAAGCAATGGGCAGAATGCACACCGGTCTTTCCAACGAAATCCACTGGCTCAAATCCTGGGCTGGGTCACCGAGGTCACGTGCAGCAAATGACAAATATTTATTATTGTATCCCCAGAGCTTAGCACATTGTAAGTGTTTGATAAACGCATGCATTGCCTTACCAACCACCAATAACAACAGCTAGGGCTTAAACAGTACTTTGAGGTTTGCAAAGCACTTTACAAACATGATCTCATTTAACGCTCTGGCAAACCCTGGGAGATAGGGGCGAACAATACCCCCATTTTACAGATAGGCGAACTGAGGCAGACTGAGGCTATAAATGACTTGCCCTGAGTCACACAGCCAGCAAGGGTCTGAGGCTGCATTTAAATTCGGGTCTTGCTGACTCCAGGCCCTGCGCAGTACCCACCGCGCCTGCCGGGAGGGAAGCCCCAGGCGCTCTCGAAGGACACCGGCACCTGGCTGGGCACGAGGCCCCGGCCTCATCGCCACCGGCGCCTTATGGTCAAGGGTCCAGCCATTACCCCGAGAGTGGGTTCCGAGCCGTCGGGAAGCCCGGGGAGGAGGCCTCACAGGCCTGGCCGATATGCAAGGCCTGGGCCGAAGCCCAAGGGGGCGCTCCGTCCCTAGGCCGAACATCTCCATCCTCTAGGGAGGTGACCTCGGCCTCGGAAGCCATTGGAGGGGTGGGCCCTGCCCAGCTGTCGGGGCTGTGGCCTCGAACGCGTGAAGCGGTCATCAGGGGCCGGAGCAGCACCGGGGCCGCCGCAGGCCGAACGGGGCCTGGCCGGGAATGGGCCTTCAAGGATCGTGCTTCGCGCCTCCAGGAGCCATGCTGGCCCCGCCCCACCCGTCGGTGGGCCCGCCCCTCATAAGCGCACGCGCTCGCCCTGCTGCGCCGCCGCGCGCCCGCTAGGACACGCGCCTGGCTCCGCCCCCCTTCCTGACCCTCCGCGCGCCCCCTATCCCCCGGTGGGGCTAAGGCTGATCCCGTTCCCGTGCCGCGCTCCGGAAACTCACTTGTGAAAGGAAACGGGTTTATCCTTGTCGTAGCGGTTCCTGCAGCCATAGGCGGAGCAGGACTGCACCATCCTTCCGGCTTTGGCCCGTAGGGGCGGGCAGGGGCAGGAGCAGCTGCCGCCGTCGCCACCGCGCACCTGACTTAGACACTCCGCTCCCTTCTTTAGCGCCGGCTGGCCGGAGCGGAGAAAGTCCGGCTCACTCCAGGGTGCTTTTAATGCGTCTGTATTGTCGTTTGCATTAGCAGGACCACAGCCATCGCCCGTCTGCTCCCATCTCCAAGATGGCGGAGGCAGCTTCAGCCTCACCTCTCGCGAGGAGCTGCGGACGACGGCTCTGATTGGCTCGTCGCCCAGAGCTAACGTTCACTCGGATGCGGACAGCAGGCGGAGTCCCGACGCCTTCGGGCGAAGCTGATTCGACCAGCGCCTTCCCTACCCCTGGGAGGCCGAGGGGGAATGGGGCGGAGCCTGCGAAGTCCGCGGCGACGAAGCCAGAGTTTATTGCGAGAAGGCCGGGCTGAGGCTTGGCTTGAGGGGAGAGGCCGCCTTGGGAGGGAGTTTGAAAGTCACGAGGGGCGGGGCGATGCCGCCTCACGCAGGGGGCGGATAAATCACAAGCCCCGCCCACCGGGCCTGGTCTGTCGGGGGAGGTAGCGCTTGCAAGCCCTGGACTTGGGGGAGGTAGCCCTTGCAAGCCCTGGACTTGGAGTTTTGGCCCCTCTCCTTGTGAATGATAGGCAATGCATTGATCAGCCTTTGAGAAAGGCTTTCCTAGGAGAAGCGCTTTCCTAGGAGAAGCCTACAAAGGTAGAGCTGGAAGTGCTGAGAGGTCTTCTGATCCTCATCGTACACATACAGAAACTGAGGCTAAGGGTTGGGGAGAGGGAACCTGTTCAGAGTCCTGCATCTAGTCTGGGGAGGGGTGGTCGGGAGTCTGAAGCACGTGATTGGGCTGAATTGTCACTGGGGATGGCACCTGCTGAAGCTACTGCTGCTCAGAATGTTTTAGATGGATTCATAGGTGATAGCTCCACTTCTGGGGGCGGGGAAGAAGGAGGCGACTAATAATTTGAACAACGCATTTTCTAGAGCAGTGGTTTCAATTTTTTTTTTTAAGCCATGGACCCTTTTAGTACTCTGGTGAAATAATAATAGTTAGGTTAGGATTTATATAGCCCGTTAAAGTTTGCAAAGTGCTTTGCCAGTACCTAATTTCATCCTCATAGCAACCCTGAGAGGTAGGTAGGTGCCATTAAATCTGACTAGATTTAAAACAGAAACCAAGGGAAAGATTTCAATATGGAAAACAAATGGTGTATGTCACACACAGATGCAAACATGTATACCACACACACACACACACACACACACACACACACACGCATGCCTCTTCACTCAGTAAACTCCAGTGACTTCTCTCCATCATCTCCAGGATCAAATATAAAATACCCAGTTTGGAGTTGAAAGCTCTTTATAACATCCTTCCTCCTGGACCCTACCCCGTTTTTCCAATCTTCTTACTTGACCTCCTCCTTGCTGTTTTTTTTTTTTAAGAATTTTTTTTCTCTATTGCACATAAAAACAATTTTTACATTTTTATAATTTTTGAGTTCCAAATTCCATCCTTCCCCCAGTCCCCTCCTTCAGAAGGCAAACAATAACACCCTATATAAAAATATAGATTATACATGTGCAGTCATGCAAAACATTTTCATATTGCTGCTCTTTGTTGAAAAAGATATTCATCTCTTAACTCTGGATATTTTCACTGGCTGTCTTCCATGCCTGGAATGCTTTCTTTCTCCATCTACCCCCTGGCTTCCTTCAAGTCCCACCTAAGATCCTTTGTTCTGTAGATAGCTTTTCCCCATCCTCTTTAATTCTAGTGCCCTGCCTCTCTATTATTTACAATTTATTCTGTATGTAACTTGTTTGTACATAGTTGTTTTGATATTTTTCCCCCATTAGACTCAAAACTCCTTAAGAGCCTTTTACAAAACCTTCTTTGTATCCTGAGTATTGTCTTACTTTTTTTGTATCTTCAGTAATTAGTAATTCAGTAATTAGCACAGAGTAGGTGTTTCATAAATGTTTATTGACTCTTTATATCCCCATTTTGAAAATAGGGTACTGAGGCAGACAGAGGTTAAGTGACTTGATCAGGGTCACACAGCTGGTATCTGAGGCTTGCCTTGGACTCAGACTTTTCTGACCCCACATCCAGTTTTCTCTTCACTGTGCCACCTAGTTGCCTACCTGAACTTCTCAAAAAAAATTTTTTAATTAATGTAATACATAGGATTACAAAAGAAACCAATTATATTGAAATACTTATCAAAATATATTTTTTGAAAAGTTTGTATACCCCAAGGTAAAAAATCCTGCTTGGAATTTGCTAATACTCAAGCTTTGCAGAGGTCATGCAACTTTATCCCACCTCTTAACAGTGGACTGCCTTACATATACTACAAAATATTTATTAAATGCTTTTTGTTTGCAGGGCTTCACACCAGTCACAGGAGGAAAAGCTGAGATTAAGATACAGGGGGCAGCTAGGTGGCCCAATGGATAGAGCACTGACCTTGGAGTCAAGAGGACCTGAGTTCAAATCCAGCTTCAGACACTTATTAGCTGTATGACCCTGGGCAAGTCACATAACCTCATTGCCTGCCCCCCAACCCCACCCAAAAAAGACAATGTTAACATTAAAGAACAGTTTCTTAGAGAATGTTAACATTTCTTTTGGAAATCTTACTCTAAAGCTTCCTATCATGCATTATGTGGAAGTAACCCTGGGTTTTTTAACACTGTACTAGTGAAGCACAGCTTTTGGGTGGGCCTGCTAAATTGGACAGATTTAGAATAAAGCTCCAGTAGCTAACGTGATTGGGAGGGGGTTGGTGCTATTGCAACCTGTGGTAATGCTAAGATTTGGAAGATAGATACAGGTACCCAGAGAGAAGAAATAATGGGTCTTTTGAGGTATATGAAAATATAGGAAGTGGAAATAAACTATTTCTGTGGATGGAGAGTAAATAGTAGGATCTTTCAGAGGTGGTTCTAAGCAACATTCTAACCCTTATCCAGATGAATTCAGCAAGGATTTATGAAGCTTTCTGGGCTAGTTTCTGGAGAGTCAAAAATGGCTTTGTCTTAAATGACTTGCATGTTATATTGATGGATGCATCATGTACTTGGATGAGTCAGCCAAAGGTAAATTTGAGGAGAGAGAGAACATTAACAAGTGGAAATTATGAAAGTAGAAGGCTTCACTGAAGGGGCACATTCAGCTAAACCTTGAAAGAAGAAAGGGATTCTTAGATGTGGAGATGAGGTAGGAGTGAATTCAGGCATATAGGTTTGTGTCTTTAAATGCCTAGACTGGAGGAAAGGTTCCAGGAACCATAGCCCTATTTAATATAAATGTAGAGCTCAGGAAAGGAGTAAAAAGATAAGGCTGAAAAGTTTATATTTTATCCTGGAGGCAGGAAGGATTCTGGTAGCTGTGTCAATAGTCAATAAACATTAAGTGCCTACTATGTGCCTGACACTGTACTAAGCACTGGGAATTCAAATAAAGGCATAAGACATTTTGCTGCCTTCAAGATACTCACACTCTAGTAGGGGGAGACAACGCCATAGCTGGGATGGGAAATGATCTGAAGGTGTGAGTTGCAGAGTTGAATTCATTTTGCAGAATGATGAGTTTCTGGAGGTCACAAAATACTGCAGAGTGAGGCTGGGAAACGATGAAGTGAATTCCCTGGATACTCTCTTTCAGTGGTGAAGGATCTGGGAGGAGTTCTCCAATGTCTGTCCTCCACCCTCTCCATTCTTAGGGGTGCAGGGCCAGCAGGGGCCATAGGGTTATGGGGAAGTGTGAGTTTCAGAGTTGATTTCATCTTGCAGAATGATGAGTTTCTGGAGATCATTTGGGTGGGACGTGAAGGAGAGGTTGCAGAAAGGAATGACTATACACAGGGAGTCCATTTTCAGTACTTATTATGATAATGCAGACAAGAAGTTACAAAGGGCTGAATTAGGGTGGTGACTGAGTAGAAAGAGGAGCATGGATTTTATGCAGGGTGAATTGAGAAGACTTGGCAAATCAATGAATATGAATTACAAAATGTAAGACTAGGACATAGTTCCCACCCACCTATGCTATTATAATACATACCAGCGATTCTTAACCTGGGGTCTATGAATTTATTTTAAAAAATATTTTGCTAACTTTTAGTATCATTGATTTCTTTTGTGATCTTATGTGGTTTATGCATTTAAAAACATTATTCTGCTAAGGGGTCCATAGACTTCACCAGATTGCCAGAAGGGGTTCATTTCACAAAAAAAGATTAAAAACCTCTGATCTATACTCTTGTCTTCCCATTTCAAACACAATGACTTACACTCACTTCTGAGTATTTTATGCAAGAGGAAGGTGATTTGAGGGGCAGCCTGGTGTAGTAATTTGGTTACTGGTCTTGAAGATGAAAGACCTGGATTTTGAGTTTTGACACTGCCACTTACTGTCCCAGTGATTTTGAGCAAGTTACCAAAGTACTCCTTGCATATCTTTGATGTACCCTCTGTGAAAGGGGGTAGGGCTAGTAACATGCAACAGGATTGTTATGAAGTGCTTTGTTAACTAAAGCACCCTAAAAATGTGAGCTGTTATCATCATCGGCCATCTGCTTAAAGCTCCTGACCTGCCTGTTTCTGTTAATGGCCTCCATTTGCTCAGTGTTTTAGGCTGTAAACTACAGTATTATTTTTTACTTCTTCCTTTCCTGTAATCTCATCCAGTTAGACAGCTCCTGACATTTGGCTGCTGCAGTGCTCCCCATCTGGTCCCTTCTTTCCATATCTACCACCCCCCCCCCAAAGCTCTCATGAACTAACTGTCACCTGGACTATTGCACAGACACCTAAACTAGTCTTTTCATCTTCAGGCCTGGTTCTTGTCAATGCACAATGATATCTGCAGTTATTATTGAGGTGGTTGTAAGGATCACATGAGATAAAATAAGGGTAGTATTTTGGAAACCTTCAAGTTCTGCATGTGTACACTTTGATCATTAGCCATGTTAAAGCACAGCTCAGGTTATCTCATTCCCCTCCTTAAAAACCTTCAGTGCTGTTTTATTACCAGACAAATAAAATCTAGATTCTTTAGCCTGATTTTAAAGCCTTTCCATGCTCTGATCCTAACAAACCTTCCCAGGCTTCTCCCAAAATCACAGAATTGAAAGGGATTTCAAAGGCCATCTAGTCCAATCCATGCCTAAAAAGGATTCCTT